TTAATAATATTGTTTCGTGGAAAGATCCACAGATATTTTTGAAATCTTCTTTTACTGATGTGTCCATTATTTATCATGATATTGTTGATTTTGTTCAAATGCATATGTCGGGGACGGGTATGTCTGAGGAAAAGCTTTTGCCAGATGCATCTGGGGGGCAACTTGTTTTCAAGTCCGGCCCTGCCAAGCCAAAATTGGAGTCCTTAAATTTATGTCAATGGTCATTGTCTATTATGTACAAGCTTTTATATTCAGGCGAATTGCCTCATGCCCAGATTCTGGATTATCTGTCATATACCGCTAGGATTTTAGATCTTATAGTCACATGTGAGATGGTTTCTGTTCTCTTTTTCGATAGGCAGCACCGGCAACTGCAGAAGCAACATACATTTCGTTGGGGAACAGATGTACATCACTTACAATCGGTGTACTTGCGACCAACAAATTTTGCTAAACCTCAGACTACGCCCCCAAACCTTTTGTTAAGCATGATATGCAGTATGCATCACATACATCAGGGGGTAGGGAAATCTTTAAGCGATTTAACAGCAGAAAGGGATTTTTCATGTCTACTTGTAGGTTTAAGCATGTATGCGCTGTACCTAGTTGTGCTAACAAACATCCTGCCCACACTTATTCTTCATAAAACCTTGCATAAAAGCAGGATTAGTGGTAAAGCCTTTGCGTGACCTAAATCTGTAAGTATGGGGAAAAAAATCAAGATGATTTTGATAAAGATTTCATTTTACATTGCATTCAATTTGGATTTGATATAGTAAAGTCTTTAGACATTCCTCCCAAAGTTCAGGCAAAAAATCATCCATCTGCTATGCCTTCAAGTCCTTTTTATAGTAAAGCTCATGATCAGATTTTGGTAGAAATCGAAAATGGCTATTATGTTTTTGCAAAAAACAACCCCAAAAAAAATTAGTCCGCTTGGTGTAATTTCAAAACCAGAGGGAGGTGTTAGGCATATTCAAGATTGTATTAGGCCTGCAGGCAGAGCAGTTAATGATTTTGCGGGGAAATTTCAAAACAAGAATTTCAGACTATTGATGATGATATTTAACATGTAACTCCCAATTGCTACATGTCAAAAGTTGACTTGAAGTCAGCGCATAGATCTGTCAAAATTAGTGAAGCAAGTTAAAATGTCACAGGCTTTCGATGGATTTTTCCTAATGGAAAAGAATACACATTATTTGATCGCAAACTCCCATTTGGCTCAAAAATATCCCATAGTATCTTTCATCCTTTGTCCCAGTCTGTAAGACGTATTATGTCACGCAGGGGTTTTACCACTGTTTCTTACTACAATGATTTTTTCATCTGCGAGAAAACTAAATCACCTTCCAGGGAAGGTATGAATTCACTTATTACCTTGCTATGGGCATTAGGGATTTCTATAAGTTGGTCAAAGGTTGTTGATCCATGTCAACAACTTACTTTTCTGGGTATTGAAATAGATTCATCCAAAATGAAAGTTCGACTTCCAAGCAAAAAGGTAGCAGAGCTAAAACGGATTTAGCTGACTTTTCAAAGCATGCGACAAAAAAGCAATTGCAATCCCTTGCAGGGAAATTAAATTGGGCTTCTGCATTGGTACGTGGCGGAAGAGTTTTTCTACGGCGAATCATAAATAGCATTACACGATTAAAGCGAGACTGGCATAAGGCAAATCTTAAAGGCGATATTGCAAACGACATTCTTTGGTGGCATAATTTTATGTCCACTTTTAATGGGAAATCTCTGATTTTAGACCGATTACCACTGACATCTGTTGCAACAGATGCATATAGATCAGGAGCTGGTGGCTTTTATGAAAATGATTGGTTTTATGTAAACTGGGCAAAAGATTTTCCCTCTGCATCAAATTTGCATATAAATGAGCTTGAAGCATTTTCTATTGTCCTTGCAGCAAAGCGTTGGGTGAGCGCATGGCAAATTAAGCAAGTAAAAAAAGTGTTTTAAGACTGGCTAATTTCTCATTAAAAAGACATTCTGCATGTCCTTCGACTTTCAATCAAGCCAAGAAAGGTATCAAAAAGGTCATTTCTTGCAAATATTATCGTTCAAAGAAGAGAAGTGGTAAGATGGATATATTGAGAAAAGTATGGGAAATCCTCTATAATTGACTGTTGGCACTGTGGCTCTTTATCACCAGTTCATGTTAAGGGAGGAGGCTGGATTACTTAAAGAGAACCAAAACCTACACCAGGAAATGTGACAATCATAGTCAATTAAGATCAGAATTGACCACACATTCCACCAGCAGGTTTTTACATCACAAGCTCACTGTTATGGGCTAGTTACCACTGTAATAATAATAATAATAATAATAAATTCTTTATTTAAAGAGGGTAAACTCAGTTAGTTACAATAAACTAATCTTCCCTGAGGCCCTCACATACAAATTACAATACAATCAAAAAACAGATATTTACACATAGTTAATTTACAGTCAATTAGTTCAATGTAATATTACTAACATGATAAGATATAAGGCTGTTCAAGATGTACATGTAGTCAAAAAATCAAATACAAATATAAATAAAAGAATATACAAATACATTGTAGAAAACATAATCTTTTCAGGACTGTGTTAAGTACTTCTTGATACTTTGTTTAAAAGTATAAGTGTTTTGAGCTTTACGCATTTTGTTTGGTAGTCCATTCCATAACACTGATCCAGAATAAACAAAAGATTTCTTAAATAGCTCAGCTTTTGGCTTAGGAACTATCAGATTACCTTGAGTGACGCCTCTCAGGGAGTAAGGATTATTATCTGATTTCAGTTTAAACTTTTGAACTAGGTACATTGGTGCTTCCATATGCATACATTTATATAGAAGTTAATATTTGTGGTATTTTATTCTATTGTCAACTGTCATCCACCCAAGTTCTTTAAATAAGGGGGCTGAGGGGGATAAAGGAACTGCATCTAGAATTAATCTTGCTGCCCTTTTTTGGAGTTTTAAAATTCTTGCTATCCCTTCATTTTTACATTCACCCCAAATAATACAGCAGTAGTCAATCAGGGGCAGAATATACCCATTGTAATATGTTTTCCTTGCATTTATATCTAAAAATTTCTTTATTTTAGAAAGGAGGTATATTCTGGATGATATATTAGTACAAACTTGGTCAATTTGATTTCTCCAGTTAAGTGTGCTGTCAATTTTAACACCTAATAATTTTTCACATGAAGAATTTTGTAATACTTTTGAATCTATTATTAAGTTTGGTTGATAAGTCTGAATTGATAGTTTCTGCTTTGTTCCAGTAACCAAACATTTTGTTTTATTTGCATTAATGAACATGTTATTCATTTTGCACCACTCTTCAACCCTGTATAAATCTTCTTGAACATCATCATGTATATTTTCTATGTTTTTCCCTGATTTATGAAGAGTGGTGTCATCAGCATATAGGTCTGTTTCACAATTTTCAATGCATAAGGGAAGGTCGTTTATAAATAGCACAAACAATAGAGGACCAAGTATAGAACCTTGGGGGACACCAAATTTTACATGTTGTTGTTCAGAGTAAACATTACAAATGTTTACCTGCTGTTTTCTGTTATTCAGGTATGACTTGAAAAAACTAACAGTAGCCTCACTAAATCCATAAATTTCAAGCTTTAAACAAAGAATGTCATGATCTACCAAATCAAAAGCTTTTTTAAAATCTAATAAAATTGCTAGGTTTAAATTACCATCATTCATTTCTTGCAACCATTTGTCAATGATATTAATAAGTGCAGTTTGACAAGAATGCTGCGGCCTGAAACCAGATTGTGTAGGGTGTAAAAGTTTAAGTTTAGATAAGTATTTGTACATGTTATTAGAACTGTAGATGAACTACTTAAACCACTCGGCCACTGAGGCCTCAAAATCCCACCCAATCATCAATTTGCAGCTTGAACTCAATTTTGACAAACTACTTCAACAAGCAATAAAAATACAGATACATTGCTCTACTTCTTATCAACTGTGTAATCAAAGTGTAGCAGGACTGCAAGGCAAATGCAACCAAGTCAATAATTTTGTGACTTTCAGTTTTCATCCTTGTTTGAACTTCCATCTACATAATGATAATCACGAGTTAGACTAGGATTAGCCTCAATGTTAAAAAAATATTTGCAGTGAGAAATCATTTTTCGATCATTTTGTACTAAATTTGATTCAATGGCACAAACAATATCAATTAAAGATGTTACAATAATGGTGTTAAACAAAAATATCAATTGGCATAAACATTCATGATTGTTTTATATCCTAATGAGTCTTTGAAACTATGCTTAAGGTAGATCATAAGTATATACTTTTTGAGATAGAATTTTCTTATACTTTGCCAAAAGGAAGATTTTACTATGCTTTTTTCAAAAATATAATAAAAAGTATGGGTCACTGTGCTCTTTTCCAAGATATGAGTCGTTGAAAATTGCCTAAATTTGGTTAGATTGTTCATGAAAAAACACATTTGTGTGCATAAAAAAAATTCTATAAGATAGAATTTTGAAATAAATTGTAAGAAGATAGGTTTTATAATATGTTTTAAAAAAATAAAAACAAAAAATGATGTCACCAAACTTGTTTTCTTGCTACAAGTAAAAATAAAAAATTTCCCTATCAGTCCAGTATATATTTTTTACTAAAAGAGTTATCTCCCCTTAAATGACTTATTTGAAAAAAAATGATTCTAAAAACACAAAATTTGATATTTGTTTAAATATTTTGAATAATACAATAAATCACCAAGTTTTCTTTATATAAATAAACAATCTAACCATTAAATCTGTCTCCAAATTTGCAGATTTGGGCAAATAACTAGACCAATTTTGTACTGTGATTGTACAATCCAAGATGGCGGTATAGAATCTACCTTAATTGGAAACTAATAATATCTATATGAAATCTAAAACTGCCTTTCAGACAGTTACATTAAGTTGCTGTTTTCTAAACACTTTTTCTATCTATCAAAATATCATATTAACATGATTAATATATACTTTTTACTAAAATAATATAAGACACATACAAAGTTTTATTATTACAAACATATTAAAATTATGCATATAATGTAATAACATTAACAGTACCAATAAATTCATCTACAAACATGTTACAATATTCAAACCCATATAAAAATAAGGAGATGTGGTATGATTGCCAATGAGACAACTATCCACCACAGTTCAAATGAAGTGGATGTAAGCAATTATAGACAACCGTAAGGCCTTCAACAATGAGAAATAACCCATACCATATGGTCGGCTATAAAAGGCCCAGACGTGAAAATATGATACATGTTGGCAAGCAGCAGTATCATTGCACCTATTTAATTGATTAAGACAGAATAATATTTTGAAATCAATGATGTCATGGTCAAACTACATTTATCAAATGTCATACAATTTTACAATTAAAGGACTTTTGAAATAGCCTTCTCTGTCATGTTGAAATATATATGCCTAACACTTTTTTAGAGACCAAATATAATAGGTCTGATACTAGTAGAACTTAATAACTGAACTAATTATGAATACTAACAAATCAGGATTATGACTAAGTAATACATTTTGTACACGAAAAGATGAAAATATAATTTTATTTGTTTTAATTTTATAAGTCATAATAACAAAAACTTGATACATATTAAATCTAGAAGGTCATTTTCTCAACATAATTTTTTATGTATCTCCATCTTAAACTATAGTATTTGGGACTTTATTGGTGTAAAACTTGGTCAATCAAATATAAACACTTAATTAAAAAAATAAAATCAAATTCATCATTTTTAATATAAAAATCTTCTAAATGTAAAAAATAAAGTGAAAATAAATATGTAAAATAAATAAAATTACTATGTCAATAATAAATATTTTTCATAAAAAATTTAAATCACAACAAAGTATATTTTGTTGTTTTAAGTAAAAATATACAAAGAGGTAAACAAATGTGACTTTGAATCTAACCATTTGAAATTTATGTATGGGAAATCTAAAACAGTGAACAAGGATGATATTTTGTTAAGTAATACTCTGTATTAAAACTACAGTGGATTGTTGGAACGTGTTGCATCTATTAGCATATCAAACCTGATGGAGGGAAATCTTTGAATGTAGGACAGAAAGTCACAGGACAAAAAGTCACAGACAAAAAGTCACAATTCAGTTTGAAATTATGTTTCTTTGAACAAGAAAACACTTATTTTAAAAAAAAACATTTTTGTATTTTTCTTGAACTTTTTTATATAAAGCTACTTGGTAAACAAAATTGATTAAAAAAATATCAATAATGATCAAACAATTGTTAAGAAAACAAAATGTCAAAGTGGCTTTGTACTTAAACGGCTTCATGGTGCCAAGAAATATATCCTTTGCATGATTCAAATTTAATAAATCTTCATTTATCTAGTCCAATGAACTATTTCCTAAACTGTAAAATGAATATATTTAATAAAAAGTAAATTTTTCAAGATCTTTCTCTTGAATATTCAAATATTGTATACAAATTATTTGTGACTTTTTGTCCTATCAAATTTGTGACTTTCTGTCCTGTGACTTTTTGTCCTCTGACTTTCGTCCGTTTCCCAAATCTTTTACTGTTTGAAAAATGTATTTTAGACTACTAATGCAACCAAATTCAAAGCAGAAAGCTATATTGGTGTCATTCTCTATCAGCAGTTACTTTATCATGAAATACTAATGTTTTATATCTTAAACTTACAAGAAACTTACAGTTAACTATTGTTGCTGTTTTCTTAACACTTTTTTATCTATCAAATTATCTGTTTACAAATATAATACTTTTAGTACATTTATACTAATACACTGTAACATTTTTTTAGATCTTTGTGTCAAATAAGACACATACAAATACATTAAAATCATGTATACAGTGTAAATAAATTCATGCTACAAAACATTCAAACCCATGTAGTATCATTGCACCCTTTTTATTGATTCTGAAAGTATAATATGTTGAAATCAATGATGTCATGGCAAACCTACATTTATCAAATGTCCTAAGCTTTCAAAATTACATTGTTTTTGATATAACCTTCTCTGTCAAATTGACATATATACCTAACAATGTTTTAGAGATGAAATATAATTGGTCTGTTACTACTTGAACTTTATTACAGAACTAATTAAAAAGATCTATTTAGACTAATGATTAAACCAATAAAAAAGGTTGTGATCAAGTACACTCTGTCACACAGACATTTACATCTATCAATTGACCAAATCATATCTCATTTATTACTTATAGTAATTGAAAGCTGACCAGAGTATAAAATAAGGTCAAAGAACCTTCTTTGATGTACACTCTGATGAAGGTAAATCCAGAAAAGAGCTTCAGACGAATTAAATTCATATAACTTGTTGTTTTCATTTTTTTTTTTGCACTTTACAATAATTCTTTCATAAACCTACTCACTAACTTTCAGGTAAGTCAAAATGTAAGTAACACAGCAAAAGCAATAATTGTCTAACTCACTCAATACTTCAAAATCTATCCAAAAAAGGGCTGACCATCAATGATTATAATTATTCTATATAGAACTTTCAGGCACTCTCCAATGGATATATATTCAAAGAAGAAGGTGTAATAAAAGTCATTATCTGGCAAACAAAATCACAAAAAATCATACTCTTATTAATCCTAGAATGATTATTTCTTTTTTATCAAATGTAAACAATAGAATAATATGACCACTAGATGCCAAAGTGTCATCCATAATGTAAGTGAAAAATAAAATGTGCATGAAGACATGATAAACCATGATAAAAAAAACAGTATCACAGAGTATCATTTTGTGCGTTCTAAGCATTTTCTGGATTAACCTTCACTGATATCTGACAGACAAAATCTAATAGTATATGATGAATGATTACTGACTCATAAATAACACTGTAATAAACAGGAAATTACTCTATATCATACATTTGCTTTGGTCCCTCTGTTTGATTTAAATTGTTGTTTAAATTCAACATTCAAGAAAATCATAATTGTAGGAGACAGATCAATGGTTATCAAATTTTTGTATTTGTTAAGGTGGATCATTGGTATATATTTCCTCAGATAGAATGTTCTTATACTTTTCAAAATGAAGATTATACTATGCTTTTTTCAAAAATATAATTAAAAGTATGGGTCACCATGCTATTTTTCAAGCTACCAGTCATGCAAAATTGCATTAATTTGCATAGATTGTTCATGAAAAAACACATTTTTGTGAAATAAAAAGAAATCTATGAGATAGAATTTTGAAATAAAACATGAGAAGATAGGTTTCATAATATGCTTTAAGAAAATAAAAAGAAAAAATGGTGTCACTGAACTTGTTTTCTTGCTACAAGTAAAAAGCGAAAATTTCACTATCCCTCCAGTCTAAAATTTTTATTATAAAAGTTATCTTTACATAATTAAATAGTCTTGCACATAAATTACAAATCTGTCTCAAAATTTGCTGTTTAGGTAAAGAACTAGACTGATTATGTACTGCTATTTTACAATCCAAGATGGTGGTATACAGTGAATCTACCTTAAATCTTCTTATAAACATATACAGTGTCATATCGCGTGACAATAATGAACTTTCGAGCTGGCATCCAACATAAGGCTGTTGATTCAGAGTTGGAATGATCTTCTGGCTTTGGTAATGTAATAACTGTCTTTGTGTTTGTGCCATCTGTCCTTGTCTGCTTTACATTAGATCCATCCATAAACAATATATTTTTTTCTTCATCCAATGTCATGCTTTGGAAGTTAAATGGACTGGTAGAGAATGCATTTAACTGTTGTCCATTCATATTGAAGCAGGAGATTCTTTGGTTGTAATGAACACAACAAAGATTCACATCATCTACAGAAAATAAAATCTTTGTGTCAGAAACATTCATTATATGTTTAGGCTCAATATTATTATCTTCATTCTGAATGCTTATGTTCACTTCTAAGACTTCTGTTTCAGCACAAACCAAAAGCCTTTTGTCCATAACTGCAATTCCACCAGTTAACCTTTCAATTGGTATATTCTTTGTAATTAAGCCGTTTATTATATCTACTAATACTACGGTTCTATACCGACATAAACTGACCGCAACAATAGTGTCATCAATAACTGCAATTTGGTGGGACATCTGCAGATCTTGGTTGGGCATTGCTTCGGCTGACAGGTCTTCTATATTGAGTGATATATCTCGCTGATTTGTCCCATCAAGGTGACAAACAATCAATTGTTCATTCCAGACATTCAACATTACTATATTATCCCTACTAACAAACTTTACATCTTCTATCATACCAAGTAACGATTCAATTTTGAAACTTCTCTCAAGTTTATATCCAAATGTTATATTTGGGGAGTACACTATTGTGTGATCTTTTGTGCTAATTCTATGTTCAGCTGAACAAGAGTCGCATAATACCATGCTACATTCTTTGCACCAGCACAGGAGGTTTTCTTCCCTTGTTGTTTTACATGATAAGCACCTAAATATGAAAAAAAAAAAAATTATATTAACTTTAGAAAACTACAAATGACTTTTTGAAGTCTTCAAATTGAACAACATGCTCTTATATAGAGCCAGTATTTCTCACCTTGATTGTATGTGTATTGACAACAATGGCTACCCTCTAACCCTACTAAACCTATTCAATCTCCATAAGTTCAGAAGCTAGTCCATAACCGACTTTACAGTTATTTTTCATTGCATTTCAAATCGACTAGCATCAAGTATCACATATATAAATTTCTTGCGGTGGGAACTTCCTGCTTTCAAATTGACAGTCAAATAAATTGAAGATTATAAATCTAATATTTAGTTTAGCAGCAATTGGTCCTTCATTTGATTAAATTTTTTATCAAATTTGTAATCCAAAATTCAATGGATGTTCTATCAAATTTTTTTTTTTACAGTTATGTTGGTTTCTATGTTTATGTCTGAAAATGGATGACCATACTTTAATATTGATTATTAAACCAAAGTTAAGTAGCTAAAGGTTCTTCCAGAGCACCTGACTTTTTGAAAGAGTTTGTGTTGCTCAGTCTTTAGTTTTCTATGTTTGGAGTAAAGATTGCATTAATGAAATCAAAACTTTTATGTGGCTGGCTTGATTGTCATCAATTCACTTCTTTTTAGATAAACAATACAGGGTGCATTGGGCATTACATTCTATAGATCAGGGCCTCGAAATGGTCAACAAACCAAAAGATGTATGGACAGTAATGTAACTTTATAGAAATATAATTGTCTATCATAAGCAGTTCCTATCAAACTTACTAAAGCAGAAAACTTAATATTGAAATCCATAATCAATTCAGTCACTTGACCATGACCTAGGGGGCAGGGCCTCAAAATAGTTGTCAAACTTATATATACTGATAGTAATGCAACTTCATACAAAATATAATTGATCTATCACAAGGAGTTCCAATCAAACTAACTTAAGCACAAAACTTAACAATTGTTGATGCCGTCATCATTATCTTGCCACCAGAAAAGCAATCCTTATGTCTCATTTTTCGTGACTTTTGTCCCAGGCCAGACAAAAATGGAAACATACAGAATTTTATCATTCATAATCATTTTCACTGCAATATATATATATACTCGTGGGTTGCAATTGGGAGGACGACATTTATCAAGTCATCAATGTAAATAAAACCCTGCATTGTAATGTGTTTTCTATAATGTTTGTTGGGTTGCTGACTTAATGAAATTTAACAAATATCCACTTTTATTCATAGCTACACATTCATACAGGTCACTGCATTTCCTTAAAAAATATGAAACAACCCATAGTTTAAAGGGTCCTTAGAAAACAGGCACCTAAAAAACTAGTTTTACCCTGGTATTGTGGCTACTTATAATGTAAAGCTCAACATACTTGCCAGAGTTGCATTGTACTTACATTATAATCTCATAGTTATAACCAAAAACATCTGAAATATGAAAAGAAAATTATTCTAGTTTGTTTTATATATATACAATACCAATATCAAGACCTAAGATTTATAAATTTCTAAATATTGATTCCAGAAAAATCTTTTATAATAGTTATATTCTCCCACTGCTTGACTATTGTTTTAATGTTTGGAGTTTTTGTCCTAAACATGAGCTAGTAAGAATTATAAAATTGCAGAAAAGGGCAGCAAAACTAATTTTAGATGCTGATTCACTTTCAGCCTCAGCACCGATATGTAAACAGCTAAGACAGTAAAATCTTATGAATTCATCATTTTTACCTGTTCTAAAAAATGGTATATTTCATTACAATTTCTCATTGGATCTTTTTTAAAGTGTGTGATTGTTTGATAATTTTGTAATTCTTTGTTACTTATATTTAAATGTATATCATGATGACCCGAGGATAGATTGGTTTTATAGTTAACTGTCACCTCTTTACATAATAATCTTTAATATCATATTCTTATTATTAAAACATTTCATTCTGATGGTCATATAAACAAGGAGATGGTAGTACAATGTATTAGAGGCAAAATTGACCATAAAATTGTATATATATACATGTACATAAATTTCTACAATCTAAATAAACTGCTTCGCCGAGCGCAGCTGGATACGACCGCAGAGGTCCAACCCTAAACAGTTGGGGCAAAAATGGACACAATATTCAAGCTTGATACAGGTCTGAATTTGGATTGTCGTATAAAAATCATCTGTTCAATCTATTTTTTCAATGAAACACTGCTGTTTTCCCAGCTGTCAAATTCATGTTCACCGATTTGACTCAAATTCTCATATTTGATTTATAAAATACTAAAACGCATATCCAAATTGTGAAAAGTCTAAAATAAACAATTTACAATGCATGGGCTCAATAATATGTACAAGCAGTTCATGTGTATTTTAGTCAAGACGCCATTTTATTAACTATTGAGGTGACCTTTGAAGACTGCCGACGGTCATATAACCCGATATAAACATAAATATAGATATAAATAGATAGCGAACTCGTGCAATTAGATTTTTCTAAGTCTGTATGATTTCATTTTAATAGGTTAAAAAATATATGTTAATCATCGTTTCTACCTGTATAAGAATGATTTTTTGTCAATTGAATCAGTCAATCAAATGGTTTACCCTTGTTACACTTTCAATGTTGACATTCTTTTCCTTTTAATAACTGAACACGCATAATTCATGCATAACCCATCTCTATCTAAGGGGTTAAACTGAAGGTCACATAAATACGGATTCAATGAGGTCGAATTATTCACTTGCAAGTGAATAATTCATCAGTGATGTTTCTTAGCTTTAGATAAAATTGAACCAAACTGGCTGCTAAAAGCAAATTATTATTTCACTATTTCACTTTCATTATAAATGATTGAACAAAAAAAATCATTTATTAATTTTTTTATATATCTCATAGCTAGTGCCCCTTTAACTGTATTGTCAAGAAAATACAGTAAAATGGAAAATTATATAAATTTCTGACTGTTTGACTCATACATCATGAAATATGATATTGAGAACAATCCTTCCTTCATTAGATTTTCGTTCACACAGAAAATATATTTTGTGTGTTTATCTTGTTGCTGGCAAAGGGGATGCTTGTACTCTCTTAAATTATCTGAAATGTTCCAAAAATTAGCTTATGTTTTGCTAAAATCTGGAAAACACCCTTATCATGATGTCTCTTAAAGAATGTCACATTATTTCATTAACCCAAAACTAATAATTACCTTCCCTTGGAGTCAAACAAAGTAGGCAACACCATGGCCTCCAAAAAAATAGAGGCTTCAAGGAGTATTTTAGCGTAAAACTGATACAATATAATTAGGCAAATCCTTATAACTTGGTAGGAAGTTAATAAGCAATGATTGTGAAAATGCATCACATGGTATAGCAAATCCACAAGCTGTATAACAAATTCCAGAAAGCTCTCAAAATCTCATGGGACAGGCAGCCAAGGGTAAAACAGTATACCACACTCCTTCGAAGGGGGTATACAAATGAAACATGTAAAAATATTTTCGCGAAATAAATACACACAAACATAAAAATTTTCATGCATATTAAAAACCTGGAATACAATATATCTCAAATGATCTTGACAATTGTACTTGAATATCTACCTGGATTACCCCTAAGAGCCTCATTTGAACTGTGATTTTGTAACAACAATACGAGTGATCCACATTTAGAGCCAATTAAGGATTAAAGATATCACAGAAAGACGCACGCTGGTTTGACAGTTTTATTGTGTAGTTTATAACTTAATCGGATAATCATCTCCATTTAAACTAATGACAGTTTTAATGATTGCATTGATTGAATAATTCATCAATTGTGTAAACAGGAACTCTGGCTTGTATTATATTGGTAAACAAATGTAGACTTGATTAAAGAAAAATTAAATATTTTAAGAAAATAACTGTAGTTAAATCAATTTCAGGCAAAATTACAAGCAAACATTATTGTAAACTGAAAAATTTGGCTTCAAATGGCCAAGTTAATTTTTAACACATACTTTTGCCATCCCAGATTCAACGTTTCAAAGTTTTCTCGTTCACACTATTACTCATTAATCTGTGAACATGGTGAAGGGTACCTACTATCCTAAATATAAACTCATATCACTTCCTAGTAAACAGACTATTATCTATATTTTTTTTCAATTTCGGTAATACACTAAAATAAAGTACACATGAATATGTCGGCAATACCAAATACATGAAAAAAAGTACATATACAGTAGTTTGTATTCATATTTTACACATTTATAAAGATATAATTACCTGCTTCTTTATGTAAATCTTTTTTTGATTCCTGAAAACATATTAAATCATTAGCTATAAAACTTAATATATAAAAAAACCCCTCTTAATACTAAAATTGGACAGAAAAAGTTTGAACGCGTTATGATCTGTCATTTTCTTCTTCAATGCAGGTCAAAAAAGGACATGTGCCTATTCATCAAAGGACACTCTCCAACATTAAAGACGAGAATAGAATTCATGACAAAAATCTCTGTTTTGTTGATTTTGTATTGCTGATCATTTAGTCTGTTTAGTTTCTCTCTATCTTCTTTACTTTTTGCTCAAAACACAAAAGAGGGACACTCTCCAACATTATAGACGAGAATAAATCCTCATTAAAGGGCAATCACTCCTTTAAAGAGTGACAGTCTACTAACTATATCAGCAAAATTTAACTTGTTAGTAGATCTTGACTTGCTGATCATTTTTGTGATTTAAAGTGTATATTTATCTATTATAATTTTTATCATAGAAGGCAAAATGCTGTATAGATGTAGAAATCACAGCAAGATTTTATAAACAACGATGTTGAAAATCCACATACAAATTGTGTTTGCAAAATTCAATGGAAAGTAAAACCAATAGGCACCTAGGAGCCTGAATGATCACTTTGATGTATTTTGACCAAATGCAAGTATAAGCATTTCATCAGAACCAAAGCAATAACTTATGGTAAATACCAAGACTGAAGTTACAGCACTTGGAAAATACCATTTAAAGAACATGTATGCATGGTTTGGTTTTTTTTCATTTCCTCAGTTCTTGAAAAGGAAATAAAAAGGTATTTTTCTTTATGGCTTCAATTTAGATCTCCATTTGAAGCCAGTTTTCATTTCAATAGTTATTGATGACCTTCGCATGAACATCCCTGTCAGGTTTATGTGTATAATTATTCTGTAAAAAACTTTCAAGAAAATTTATGTATACATACATTTTTTAGATGAAAAGTTTATAGATTATCAGTGGTTTTTCAAACAAGAGATATCCTGGAGTTTAAAAGATCATTGATAATCTGTTTATCACTGTTTAACGATGTAGACTGATGACCTCATCATGTTCTCTCTCTACTGAGTTTAGGGTAACTTTTGATTTTGAGACATTATTGAAAAATTAACATGTTTTTGTTAAATTTTGTATTGAAAGACATCATTAACATAAATAATACATTTTCATCTGAACGATATCAAAAATACTTCCAAAATAATTTTAATTTTGGTGAAGACTGTTCTTTTAAAATTACTCAAAATTTGCTAAAAATTAAAGTGTTTCACCATATATAAGTATCTATAATTTGATCAAGTACCTCATATGTACTTATGTGAATTTTATGAATATTGAAGGACTTTTAGAAAAAATAAATCAAAGAATCAAATGGCATCTTGCAAAGAATGTTTTTAAACAACGGAGAACTTCCAATGTTTGTAAAATGAACATTTAAATATTTGAAAAATGACTAAGTTCCAAAGTCTGGGAAAAATGCCTAAAAATTCCCCAATAACTTCCATAATAGCAGGTCCACAACTTCAACATATGTGCAATCTTCATGTGTAGTTTAAGGGATCTGTGTTGAAAGCTGTAGTAGGAGTTCATTACATAAATTAGGTACCTATACTTATAACCATCGCCATACTATTAAGCCAGTTTTGGACTTCATCCAACCCAGCCAAAATGGCTCTGCTGCGAAATATATTCATAGGCAGGGTTTCCGCTGGGGGTGGCCATTTTCGCATTTTGCAAAAAAATAAAAATTCTGGTGACTAAAATTCCTTATTGGCGAAAGAAATATACCGGTTCAACTTCATCCATTGTTTACTTTTTTCGAGTTACTCTGACTTTTCGCTGATCAGACAATACTGGAAATACCTTGAACTCGTTACGATTTTGATCAATATTCAGCTGATTGCATTTTATAGCTATCGGCAACAAACTGACAAAGGATTATAATTAATAAAGGTGTTAATTGTATTGTTTCATGAAACGGTTTGGTTTAATGGCTTCACATGTCTCTTAAAGAATTTTTTTTAACTTTGATTGAAATAATTGTTTTGAAGTGGGTACTGGACAGCGTTTAAGCGACGCACTTGTTTGAAGCATATTTTACATCTCCTCTTTTTCTTTTAACAATGGTCTGGGGGAAAAAACCGGTTGTTTGAAGTGGGTGATTTACAATCGTTTTTGCGAAGCATGTGTTTGAGGCCATAGTTTTATGTTCAAACTATTCGTTTATTAATTTAATGATGGTCCGGAAAAGAAAACTATTGTTAAGAAGAAAAATATTCAAAAGTAAGAAGAATCTCTGACTTTAGTCTTTATCCCTCAACTAGATGGGAAGTATCTTATAAACTATTATAGATGATTGATTGACTGTTGGTTGCTTAACATCCAGTGGCAAATATTTCATGCATGTTCAGGAGGAGAATAAATTTATTAATAAATACAATAGGTAGGTCTGGTACGAGAGGTCAACTGGGTTGCAGGTCAGGAAAATTTGAACTGCCACAGGAAAATGAGGGTATATTGGATAGGGACAGAAGTTAAGCCTTGCAACAGGCCACCTACGGACCCCCCCCCCCCCCCCCCCCCAAAGAGTTGTTGCAAGGATTCTTAACGTGCAGAGAGCGGGACACTCTCTCTACACGAGGCATCGGATTTAATGTCCCCATTCTGACCGTGCATTGCTGCATACTTGATACATCCCGATCAGCCAAACGGACGCCCCACTTTGGCAAGGGTTTTACTGCCGGTCGGAAGAAGACCTGTAGTGACCATATTTCAAATCCCCACTCACCCTTGGGGACTAAATATTATAGATGAATCTTGTGTTCCCCGGCAGAATTCTGTACGGAGACATATTGAATTGGTAACGTCTATGTCATTTGGTCTCTTCTGAAGAGTTTTCTCATTGGCAATCATACAATATCTTCTAATTTTTATATAACAATGTGACAACTGATTTTTTTTTGTTAGAAAGAAGGAAAATTTTAAACTCAAAATATGTTTATGTTAGTTGGCGAAAAAAAATGAAAGTGGCATTAAATATATTGTTTTGGCGAAAGAGGTGGCGAAAAAGAAAATTTACCCAGGGGAAACCCTGTTCATAGGATATTGGCCCTTCCTCTTTTCTTTTAGATTTAGACAAGTTTGATTATATTAGTTTATTTTGTTAGAAAGAAAAACAAAATATTACACTTATTTTGTCTTTTTTAGTAACCATCTAGTACTATCCAGGATACTCCTAGGACAAATCTGCATATCCCAATTTCTACTAGTAGATATTGGAATTCCAATTTGTACTAGGAGCATACTGATTACTAATGAATTCCAATTTGTATTGTAACATTTATATACATATATGTAAATATCTGTGTGTGTAAACTGTGTTTCTTACCTGCAATTGGAGTGTTTTCTCATATGCTTTAATTAAGTTCTTTTTGACTTGTTTCCTTTTCCTCAAATGATCAAGTCTTGATTTTGTGTTCAGCATTTTTATATAATCAGTGCCATGGCCAGCAGACCCAACCTAAAATAGTCAAAAACTCAACAAAGTAAGTATGTTTATTTCTCTATAAATTCTTCAAGTTTTAAAGGGGCATTGGCTGTCAAATTCATGTTCACTGTTATGACTCAAATTCTCATATTTGATTTATAACATACTAAAACGTATATCCAAATTATAAAAAGTCTAAAATAAACAATTTACAAGGCATGGGCTCAATAAAATGTAACATCGTTTCGATTGTATTTTAATCTAGACGCCATCTAATTAACTATCTAGTTGACCTCCGAAGACTGCCCACGGTCATATAAGTGATATAAAATAGATATAGATATAAATAGATAGCGAAATTGTGCAATTGGATTTTTCTAAGTCTGTTTTTAATTTCATATTATAGGTTAAAAATATATGTTAATCATCGTTTTAACCTGTATAAGAATGAGTTTTTGTAGATCGAATCAGTCAATCAAATGATTTACCTTTGTTTCACTTTCAATGATGACATTTTCCTTTTAATAACTGAACACGCATAATTCATGTGTAATCCATCTCTACATGTTGTTAATCTTGTATTCCTGATAATTTTTTTCTGTTTAGTTTCTCTCGATCTTCTCTAGTTTTTGCCCAAAACACAAAAAAGGGTAAAAAAGTCATTTAATGGCAAACTCCTAAAAGGAATCAACTGATGATTCTGCATTGTTGACTTATTTGTAAGTCTGGTCTTGCTCATCATTTTACAATTTAAAGTTTCTTCTATATCAATTATAATTTTAAAGATAAAGGTAAAAATGCAAAAATATCTATAAATCGTCATTAAAGGGCAATAACTCCAATAAGGAGTCAACTTACAATTTGGGCTATTTGACTTATTTGTAGATCATTTTTGCTTGTAAAGTTTCTATCAATCTATTATAGTTTTCATGATAATTGGCAAAAAAACAAAAAAAAATGGTAAAAAAAATTTCTATAACTGGTTATTAAAGGGTAATAAGTCCATTAAGAAGTCAACTGATTATTTCTACCATGTTGACTGATTTGAAGATATTGTGTTGCTGATCATTTTTGCTGTTAAAAGTTTCTCTCTATCTATTATAGTTTTTAATATATAGTAGGCAAACATGAAGAAAAATAATTGGTAAAATTTGTCATTTAAAAAAACTCAAAGAGCTAATAATTTTGTACGCCAGAAGGGCTTTTTGTCTACAAAGCTCTCATCAGTGATGCTTCAATCAACAAAGCTAAAGGCCGAATACAGTACGAAGTTGAAGAGCAGTGAAGACCAACAATCTGAAAGGTTTTGCCACATACAGCTAAGCTAATCTTTTCCTGAGGTAAAAAAAAACCCTTTAGGATATTACTCTTAAACTCACTGAACAGTTTTGATGTTTTTGACAGCAGGTAGATCTCAGATTTTCTCTATCCACAGCGGTTGTCAAGACAAAAAGCAAAACTTGAATTTTACCCCTATGTTCTATTTTCAGTCATGCAAGTCATCCCAGGTATGGGGAAGGTTGGGCACCCGCTAACATGTCAAATTCACCCCGCCACATTCTGTATGTGCCTGTCCCAAGTCAGGAGCCTGTAATTCTGTGGTTGTCGTTTGTTGCTGTGTTATATATTTGTTTTTCATTCATCATTTTGTACATAATTTAGGCCTTAATTAGTTTTCTTGTTTGATTTGTTTTACATTTGTCATTTTGGGGCCTTTTATAGCTGACTATGTGGTATGACTTTGCTCATTGTTGAAGGCCGTACGGTGACCTATAGTTGTTAATTTCTGTGTCATTTGGTCTCTTGTGAATAGTTGTCTCATGGCAATCATACATATTCTTTTTTATATGTAAGTCATGTTGGTTTCCTAGAGAGGTCATCAGACACATTCCTATCTAAAGATACCCCAATGGTGATGGTGGCTAAGTTTGGTTAAAGGAGTAGGGCTATATGGCTCTTATTTGGTATAGCAGCAGAGACTTAGGTTACTGACCCCTTTATGGGAAACAGTCCTAGGTTGTGGGGAGAAGAATGTGTGAACTAGATCTGCTTGCATCAGGCATGTGCTGTTGACTGTTGTATTTGCAAGTCCCTTCTCCACCTATCCAATACAGCAGGGGAAAGTTATTTGGGCTTAGCGGATTTTTAGTGATATCCCTTACTCCTAGAAAGGAAAAATGGGCTCACGAAAGAGAAATGACTTTGTGTGGTCTATAATGAATCCAAAAAGACTTGCCTGTGATGTCTTAAAACTTCTATGAAATTATCAGAATGACTCTAATCAGAAATCTGAGTATCTATTGTTATTAGTTAGTCTGACTCTATTACCACGTTTTTATATAGATAGGCAGAGAGGATACACAATACGACTCGTGTTTATATCAACAGAAAGTAAAAAAACCTAACAATAAAATTTTAAGCAAATAAATAAATAAAGCAAGGACAATTCTGCTTCTAATCGTACCAAATTGTTTAAATTAAACAATTATTGTCTTTATGGTACTTTTTTTTGAAAACGTAGTTTTGAATGAAATACACTTAGTAGTATAAAATTGAAGAATTCAATTTTTGATGAAATTAAACAAAAGTTTAATTTAGGACCCTTTGGACCTCAATGTGGTATTATCTTATTAATAATGAAAAGCTTGACCGTTTACAAGTTCTTAAACAGGAGGGGGGTGGGGGAGACCCAAGGGGACTCGCCTTATATTTCATTTGATTTGTTTTATTGTCACATACAAGAATATATATTTGGTTTCAGGGTATGGATCTTGACCATTTACAAGTTTTCAAAAAGAAAGGGGGTGGGGGTTACCCCCATGGACTTTCCCTATATTTCATTTGATTTGTTTTATTGTCCCATACAAGAATATATATGGATAAGGGGTGGGGATTTCGACCGTTTACAAGTTCTCAAACAGGAGGGGGTGGGGTGACCCCAGGGGACTCACCTTTTATTTCATTTGATTTGTTTTATTGTCCCATACAAGAACATATATGGTTTCGGGTAGGGGATCTTGACTGTTTACAAGTTTTCAAAAAAAAGGGGGGTGGGGAGTTACCCCCATTGATTTCTTCTATATTTCATTTGATTTGTTTTATTGTCCCATACAAGAATATATATGGTTTCGGGGTGGGGATCTTGACCGTTTACAAGTTTTTAAAAAGAAGGGGGTGGGGGTGACCCCCATAGACTTCCCCTATATTTTCATTTGATTTGTGTAATTGTCCCATACAAGAATATATATGGTTTAGGGGTGGGGATCTCGACCTTTTACAAGTTCTCAAACAGGAGGGGGTTGGGGTGACCCCAGGGGACTCGCCTTTTACTTCATTTGATTAGTTTTATTGTCCCATACAAGAATTTATATGGTTTCAGGGTGGGGATCTTGACCATTTACAAGTTTTCAAAAAGAAGGGGGGTGGGGGTTACCCCAGGGGACTTCCCCTCAATTTCATTTGATTTGTTTTATTGTCCCATTCAAGAATATATATGGTTTAAGGGTGGGGATCTCGACCGTTTACAAGTTATCAAAAAGAAGGGGGTGGGAGTTACCCCCATGGACTTCCCCTATATTTCATTTGATTTGTTTTATTGACCCATACTTGACCGTTTACAAGTTTTCAAAAAGAAGGGGGGTGGGGGTGACCCCCCTGGACTTCCCCTATATTTCATTTGATTAGTGTTATTGTCCCATACAAGAATATATATGGTTTAGGGGTGGGGATCTCTAGTAAATTTCAAACTTTATATATACAGTCCTACAGATCTTATCAGGAAACAGTAATTTTTCAAATAAATCTGTCACTCCAATGATTATCATATGCTAAGATATAACCCAGATCTAATTAATAATTAATAATGAAATAATCTTCAAAATGTCTAATAATATAGCTTATAATCATCACCACTTAGGAAATAGATAATTTTCAAATAAATCTGTCACTCCAACTTTTATTGTGAGATAAGACAAGTCATCAAAAGTTTCAAACAATTTACCAATGATATTTCGCCAATAACTCAAATTTATTTCCATGAACCAGTAACAAAACACCAAAATAATTCTCTAAAATTAGATATGACTTTAAATAACCACTCATAAATCTCTAAAATTAGATATGATTTTATATCTATCAATTAAACACATTACTTTTCAAAACAAATAACTCAAACTTATTTCCATAAACCAGTAAAAAACCAGCAAAATAATTCTCTAAAATCAGATATGATGTTATATATATTTCCATATTATAATCAAATTCAATTAATAGTTGCTTATATTGTTTCTTTCATGTGTCAAAAAATAATACAGATCTGCAACTTATCTATCAATGTCAAAAACTTTATCTCATAATAAAAATAGCTTATTATCTAATTAATAACAAGTTCAGATTCAGCACTTGAAAGAACCCTATATATATTTAATTTATGTTCAAATATAACAAACACAAACTGATTAATTTTCTCAGGGGACCTGCCCTTTATTTCATATGATTTGTTTTTTTGTCCCATACAAGGATATATATGGTTTAGGGGCGGGGGTCTCGACCATTTACAAGTTCTTAAACAGGAAGAAGGTGGGAATGACCCCAAGGAACTCGCCTTTAATTTCATTTCATTTGTTTTATAGTAACATACAAGATATATATGGTTTCGCGGTGGGGATCTTGACCGTTTACAAGTTTTCAAAAAAAAGGAGAGTAGGGGTTACCCCAGGGGACTTCCCCTAAATTTAATTTGCTTTATTTTATTGTCCGATACAAGAATATATATGGTTTAGGGGTGGGGATCTCAACCGTTTACAAGTTTTCAAAAAGAAGGGGGTAGGGTTTACCCCTGTTGGATTTCCCCTATATTTCATTTGATTTGATATATTGTCCCATACAAGAATATATATGGTTTCTGGGTGGGAATCTTGACCGTTTACAAGTTATCAAAAAAAAGGGGGGTAGGGGTTACCCCAATGGACTTCCCCTATATTTCATTTGATTAATTTTATTGTCCCATACAAGAATATATATGGTTTAGGGGT